GATGCAAATAATAATAATGGCAATAATCTATTTTATTTAATAACTGATATATATATATATATAAAGCTGTAGATATGTTTTAAACAAGGATGTGAAATACCGCGGATTTAGTGGCGATGGTAAGGACAAATGAAAACTTGTGTATTGACTTTCTGACTTTAAAAATGATACCTAAGGGTGCCTGCCTTGTAAATAAATATACAACTTCAATGAAATGCCTTGCTGTGTTTAACACTACTGACGTGAGAGTTAATATGATCATAGAATGGTGATCATAGTGTTATAATAAGATCAAAGTAAATACCTATGGAATGTCAGTAGTCATTTAAAGATTATTCTCTAGTCAACTACATATTCATTAAAGGTTTGAACTAATCAGACGATATATTTGAATGCCTCCCATCTATCTATCTACCTATCAACTACTAGCATCAAATGACTTACATCAAATAACGAAGACAAAAATATACATATCTAACAGAAAATCATACAGAGAGAGCAGGTTTCCGATGAACGACATTTGATAACAAGACAGACAGAAATATATACACTAAGACGTCAACGGAACACTTTTGAAAAGAAGCGATCTCGGCGGATCAACAGAAATTTTTTTTTAAAAAGACGCTCCTCAGTAATTAAAAAATAACAGGACAAATTCACCTCGACAATAAACCACGGTTGACTGACTACAATGTGTCAGGTTTTTAAGTTGATTTATATGGATAGATGTAATCAGATTGAAAAATAACATGAAATGAAAAAAGCTATAGACTTTCGACCTATGTGTGTGAGAGAGAGAATGTGAAGAGCTGAGAGGCCTAAAATTAATATTAATAACAAGTCCCAAAATAGTTTGTAGTTTGTAGTAGATATGCTCACACACACTGATTGTCATAATATATTTTCACATGCACTCTTCACTCTAGTATTTTTTTTCCTATATCACACATTCATATTTGCTCTAAATGTAGTAACCACCACTTTAAAAAAATCAAATCCCTTTGTTATTGTGTTACACAAATTGATATCAGTTCATGAATAGGCCTTAAAACTAATCAAATCTCTACAAACTGACACTTGAAAATGAATTACAAGCAATACATTTATTTTTAAGTAAAGAATTAGGTCATTTACTAATCATCATGTACAATTCCAAGATCAGCGCTGGTGGTATTCAATGCAAAAATTCCATAGTGCAAGGCTAGACAGAATATACTTCTTGTGTCATAAATAAAAGAGGCTATCTACAGCTCAGGTGGACATGTACTTTATCTACGCGCGCCTAGTACTTCCTTCACATTCGAAGTTGGTGCAGAAGATATTGTTCTGTATGTACGTACGTGTCTGTCGAGCAATAATGAAAGGTTTGCAAACGAATCAGACAGTTCAGAAAAACACGGGTATATCAAAAACAGAATACTTCCACTATGAAAAGAAATATGAGATTATATCAAGTTGTTAAAATATTCACAATTATTGTAATATATAACACTATTGAACTCAACCTCGGTTATATAGTTCTCACTAATATTTAGTCATTTTTACAGAAGCCATCCCCCTTTTAGATGTAATGCATGAAGAACAGTTTTATTGAAACTGCGACGAATATGGAATCGCTCACTGGCTAGCCGGAATATGGACATCCCAATTTGTAGAGATATATAACAATTTTGCTTTCATTTTTGAATGAAGCTTAGGGGTAAAGAAGAGTTTTTTTATATCTGTCTGCTTCCTAACTCTCCAAAATTTTGCTACAAGCAGTCATGTTTATTTACGGGTGCAATAATCACAGCGCACATGCGCCTATGCACTAAGAAAACAGGTTTGTGCTATGAAGAAATACACGCGGAGAATTTAATTATAACAACCTTTACATTAACAGTTATCCTAATACTGATGATACTAGATGTATGAAAAATAAGATAAGCAACGCGGCCAAGGTGATAACAGTAAGACTAACAGCATGTTCAAAAGCTCCTAGGTACTTTTATATACCCCTTGCAGGGAAACCACAATGCTGTAGTAAATCAGTTAAGAAATAATACCTAAATGAATATCAATAATATATAATACAATCTAATCATTATTTTAGTGAATTGCTACAGTCCAATTTCCTACGACTGCGCACACTTCAATACTTCGATTTTACAAATATCCCCATCACCAAGCAGTTTCTAGTAATATTTCAGAGTATCACCGCGATTTTTTCAACAGTAAACAAAGTGTAAACAATTTCCAGTAACTTAGTACACAATACAGCCTTCTAAAGCCGATAAGGACGGTTTCAAAGGAAATGATGGTGAAATACTCTAAACCATTTCACATCATATAAAGATGTTAAGCATCAATAGTGATAATGGTGAATTAAGGCAAACAATAAGGCATGAAGCAGCGGTAAAAGAAGTCATGTAATGTCAAAGAAACTATGAAGGCGGATATTTTCAATGAAATTAAACGGGGAAACATAGTGGGAGGATTTATTTCAGAGATTCAGTATAACTAGGCAAATAAATAAAATTTAAGTGTTGTGTATTGTATGAGTTAGACTATTTCAATAAACATTGAAATGAAGATTGGAGAGAGTGTAAAGAGTAGGGGTGTGAAGTATTGGGTAGGGCGCCTACCTACCTTCTAAATATCACTGTTCCTCCACTAGTTAGTCTGGTACCTAAAATATTTGCTCGGTTTAATTATGGATTCCATTGTTTTTTAAACTAGAGATACAAGTGTACGAGACGTGTTTATGACCAACAATAACAACAAGGTTAATGGTCATTAATTCCCTAAACAGGTTTGCATACCACACACAACTATACAGAAATGAATATTGCAGAAAATTAAGCACAGTCACCAGTGATAGACTCAGAATTCAACAAAAACCTGCTGAAAAACCGATGAAAACCATAAATGACTAGTGAGGCTTATAAAGTCAGAGAATATTCGTAAAATGGAGAATAGGTACAAAGATATAACTTCCAATGATTCCATATGAGTCTGCTTATTAGATGTATCACACAGTGAAACAGTATTATTTACTGGATGACACAGTTTCTAACAAAATTTATTGTCCATAATCATATCAGTTATAATAATTATAGATGATATGATTATGAACCACAAGTAATTTTGTTCGAAACGTCATCCAGTAAAAAATCCTATCTCACTGTGTGATACATCTAATAAACAAACTAATATGGAATTACTCACTACCACAGTGCTCAAGTTTTACACATAACTTCCAATAAGTAGAATAAGTCAGAAGTAGATAGGGCGAAAGATGAATAAATACAACAACAACTGCATTGTTAGTTTCGAGTAGTTTTCAGGTTACATATATATACCTGACTTTTCTAAATGATTGTGTTATTTTGACGGCACACCTTCATATTACTGACAATGCATAATTACGGCAACAGAAATTCGCCCTAATAAAAAATTGATCTACGCATATTACAACTGAAAACTATAACACAACCGGATTACTTAACACTAAAAAGATAAGACAACAGGACTCTTAGTGGTGCAAACTGCAGGATTATATGGATCGCAATTTACACTAGTTAGGCACATACATGCACCAGCTTTTAGAGTTTGAGATGGTGGGTGGAAGAGGACAAATTAAGACACCAAAAAAGTATTATCAACTGCTTTATTATATAACCCTCTAAAAGTGTAGAAAATATAGAATATATTGTGATTACTGATAATTTACAACACTGAATCCCATTGAGACAGATAAACATACACCGTAGTATGTACAATAAAATACTTCTTATGAGGAAATCAAACGTATCCTAAGCTAAGCGTAATAACAAAAAGTATTTTAAGGTAATGACCGCGAATGAGGAAACAATAATGATATTTTGTTCATTATAGCTTAAGATCTGCGTTCTAGTAATAACTACCGTCCTCCACGAGTTGTGTTGAAGTAAACTATGAAGAGCTTAAAAAAATCACAGTTTCTACTTATGTAAGAAATATTCAATAGTAATGTGTAGATATTAAGAAGGACGTTGTACATATCATCATATGTATAAAACACCCATTAACAATGAGAAAAACAGCATTAAGAACATGAAGTTCACGGAACGAATAGAAGGAATTCAATGGTATCAAAGAATAACCCTAAGAGAGAGAGGGGTACGGAGCCTCTATTGAAGTTTTGTATAACTATACAGCGTTACCTAAATGACAGATTACGGGTAATCTGTGGACGCAGTTGAAGAGGATGGCAGAAAACAGGAGTGGAGATGTGTTGTTAAAGCACTACTTTCTAATTGGAAACCAAGGGAACAGTAATAACAATATGTCACCTAGGCACAATTTATTAAATATTCCCACATAGAGGTAAAAGATTGTCATTCTCCCATTTTATCACGATTATACGCAATAAAAGTTTTAAAACCGGCTTGAAAAGCTTGAAATAAGAGTCTCACGACAGAGTACATCTAACAGAGAGCCTGTATCAGACGGTTTTCATCGACAGAAAACGCCGACAACAATAAGACAGTGTCCAATACTACACTGCTGAAGAGAAAAGTGTACAGTAACTTCAGAGGAATGTACATATCACTATCGTTCATGGAAACAATGAATCTTTATAAGAGCTAATTTAATAGGGCCTTTAGTAGCACCGGGCATAGAGAATGCCAAAATAGAACCGATGAAAATGAGATATTAAAGACAGGCCAATAAAACCAAACACACCATGAAATCTAAACTCCAGATGCCTTAGAACATGAATTTTGCGGTCAAAAAGTGACTATAGATTGACATAAACCATTTAATAATAATAATAGTATAAATCATAAAAAATGGGAAGGTGGAACCTACTGCTTAGATATTTATATATATATATATATACAAAGAACACCATGAAATGCGAAATATACTTGTATGTGTGTGTTGGGGAGGTGGGCAGCGAAAGCTTATCACGACGTCAAGTCAAATAACAACATCAACATGAACAAGGCGATAACAACAACAATTATATAACTCACTTTTCTGTTTTATGATCCATATTATTAGTATTCAATGCTGTCGGCATTTGATTTGATATATCAGTATTACGATGTGATGTATTATTAGTATTATTGTTATTAGTACTACTTTTATGATTTATAATTCCTCCACTGCCTGTAATAACAACAGCATCACCTGAATCACAATATTCCACTTTTAATAGAGTATCATTAATTTTATTCTCTGTATTAATCACTGATGTTGCAGATTTTATATCCATAAAACTAACAATAGCTTGACGTTCATGACCTTCTTTAAATAGCCGTATCTTTTGAATTGATCCATGCCTAAAAGAAGAATAATAAGTACAAAAGAGACATGCAAGCATTCATTCAGAAAGAAAATCAGGAACATGAACACAAAGAAGACGGAGAAAAAAAAACCTAACAACAAGCCAGTACATTTTAAAGATTACAGTTCTTCATATCTTACCTTTGTAGAACACTTCGTAAATCCGCGTCTCTACATTTTGCAGGTAAATCACGTATCCATAAGAATCTCGACTTTTTCATGTTGTCGGTGGTGGTGTATACATTAAGAATGATATTTTCATTCTATAACTTTGAAATTTTTTCAATTTTACAATGTATATAATTGAAATAGAGAGATTGTAATTCCAAGATGATGAGTAGAAAAAAAAATCAACTCCGAACGATGATAATAATTTATTTATAATAACTATTACGGCCGGCTTAGCTTAGGTTAGGACAACAAGAAACAAATATAACAAATTAAATGAATGAATGAATAATAAAACAGAGAGAGAGAGAGAGTAGGGCGGACAAATAATAATAACCCTAGCAAAAATTTCAACTAATCGATAGAAAAATTCTGATTGGCTGATTGGTTTATCTGGCGTTGACTTCAAGGTTATTCAATAAAATAATTCAAGGTCATGGCCTGATGTGAAAACAGCCTGTCAGATGAATTTATTTTTTGCGTGCATTTAGCCTGTTTATTTAGGTATAGGTAGGTTTAAAAAAACTAGCAACGGCAACAACAACAGAAGATAAACTGCTAGTAAATTTTTTTCCTGTTTTTTTTAGGCCTAAACATTATTGATGTAAAGAGATAGTATAAAGATAGGAGGTTCATTTTTTTCTTTTTGCGTTATAAATTTTTGAAATAATTGGAAATATTGGTGAAGGAGATTTTGGTGAGCGCACGTTTTATGCACTCTCGCCGTCTACCATTCCATTCGATAACTAAGCGTCTACAAGATTATTTATTATTCAAGTAGGGGAAGTTCTTTAGTGAAGTATTATTGGCTGAATATGAACATCAGTCAAGAGAGACATTGGAGCACAGACAGAAGAGAATCAGGATTTTTTCGAGTGTAATTCAAGTCGCCTGCGTCGCATGGAACCACAAAGCCTATTTTCTAGTAGTTCTCCGTCTAATCCAACTATTATGTAATGGGGATATATGACTACCCATTTCATAAGATTCGTCACAGAGTGATAGACGTTGAAGAACATGATATATTGGTTCATTAACAATTTGTCTAAAGTAAGAACTGATGCCTGTCACTCCCCAACTTTCGATAGGGTTGTATGTGTCAGTCATTTACTGGTTCAGTGTTCATTAGCCACGTAATTGATCCACGATCTATTCCCGGCTGACACACTCCTGATACTTGCCTAGATTATTATTATTATTATATTATTGTATCCTTTAGTTCCTAGAGGAACATAGGGCTTCAGCTGCGCACCTCCATTGACTTCGGTTTTTTGACAACTTTTTCACCCTGCTCCAGGTCTGCCCACATGCTAGATTACTTGCCTAGATTACTAGCTGATAATAAAATCGAAGAAGAGGAAAGGCTGGATGGCTAACTACCTCACTCCGCAGAAAAAACGAACAACACCACGGCTATTTACTAGTTCTAGACTCGAAGTCCTACGTTCTACTCGAAATGCAAGGAATGCAGAGAGATAGCGTTCTAAAAACGATAGAATCAATACACTAAAGAAGCAACTTATCAATGTAGAACTATGCACCAGAGGGTGGGGTGCATCAGTTCAAGTTGTACTGCAGTTAGTTTACACCATACACGACTAAAACCACCATTTTTCGACATATTTTCGTACTATTTCAGCGAACACCATGCATCGGGGAAGGTGGCGGCTAAAGTTAGGTAAAATCAATATACTTTTATCTTAATCAGTAAATGCAATGGTGATCTAGTTTATACACACTTAGGACTCCTCAAACAGTTGTATAAAGACAGAAATATATTCATATTGTGTCTTGTGACTACATGTCTCCGTAGTCTATTGTTAACTAGAACGATGCCAGCATACTTTTAATTTTATAATTTTATTATAGCTTGACTCCATATAGTATTTTTGATACAAGTATGAAATGTTCAGCATGTGATATCGGTAGCCCAAATTTTGCAGGCCGACCATTGATATCGGGCGTGCGTCGGCCAGGGATCGAACCCCAGACCATGTGCATGGTCGGCAAACGTCCTAATCGCTTTGCCACCTCTAGAAGCAACTATGAGAATGAAGTAATTTCTGTCTAAAAACAGTTTAATATACAGAAGTGTGTAATGAAGTCGAGGATATGCGTGTGTGTGTGTGGGGGGGGGGGTTAGACTCCCGTCTTCCTCTCCAAAATGCTCTCCTCATGTAATGTCTCTCATAGCCTCTGCCAAGTAAGCCCTTTTCATTACTGGCTACCCTCACGTGGCAAGAGTATTCCACACACAAAAAAAGTAAGAGGGTAAGTGAGAAAGTCTGGCATTTACAACTGGACTGATAGTGGTGGGCATACCGGAGAGCTAAAAACTCCTATGATATACATGGGCTCCAGAATCCAAACTTGTTTTAGTCAACAGTAATCATGCTCAATCAAGGTAGCTCTTGATACTCGAGTTTCGAGGAGGGATGGTCCCCCCGCATAAGACAACCATCTACTTCGATTTTCTAGGCGTCCAGATAGCATCATTTTGATGTCTACAAGTACAGCAAGTTTATATTTTAAAAAAATAACATAATTATGAAGAAAAGAGCAATAAAAACAAAATAATCGATTTTCAATGGCGCTATGCGTGCAAGCCCACACACACACGCAAACACACATAGAAAGATTACGTACAACACAATAGATCATCATTAAATCATAATCAATAGTTAAAACTTTTCAATCACACATTCTAGAAGTCACACCACTACTATAGTAAGTTGTAAAATTGACAGGAATAAAAATGAAAATAAGAGCATAAAGAAGAGAGAAAAAGCAACGCTTGAACTAATGACCTAACGCCAATAGTGAAAATAAAGAAAAGACAACAGAAAACTATAAAAAAACGAGATTCACTACTGAGAATAAAACATGAGAGTTTAAAAATATATATATTAAATAATAGTTAATAAATAGTTCAATAAAGGCTTTTATAGCTTATGCGTTTCATATCACACAAAGATAAAGAAAATATAATGATACTTTATTTGATAAAGAAAAGACTTTAAAAAAAATTGTTAACGCACTTATAAAGGCTGTTTTAAAGATCCATTATAGGAAAGTAGATAAGGAGTATTGGAGATAGGCGTTTCGTTCTTGTTTAGGACTCTTCAGCGGTACACGTACCTATGGTTCTACTAAGAATCGAATCTTCAACCTGTAAGTTTCGGCTCTAGGATACGCCTGTTGACCATCTACAACCCACATCAGGACAGAATCCATTGATCCATCCACCACCAATTCTAACCTTTATCGATTGGCTAGGAAAAAATTCCCAACATATCCTGAAGGATATGATCTAATTTTGAGAAAGAGAGCTCTGTAAAGGCTATTTACCCATTCAGTTTCAGCGTAGAGCTCCGCATAAATGCGCCGCAATTCAAGTTGCCACATTTAATAGGGCATACAAGAGTAGAGAATAGGAAAAACGTAAATGTACACGGGAGGAGTAATAACGAAGTGGAGAATTTAATGAGAATTCGAAGGATTTTTAGGAGTTCATAAACCAGTGTGAATGCACCTGAGTTATAATATCACCAACCTTCTCGAACTAATGATTTTTAGTGTCTAACTTCAATAGTATTCATCGCATCATAAAACCTTAACACGGGAGAGAGAGAGAGGAATCAAAACACCTATGGGTCAAAAGCAACTAGTCTCTTGATATCTTCCACTGATCAAGGCACCACTCTACTCGAACTCATGCAGCCAGGTGAGAGCATATGGCGAGTTATCGTCTGGCAACTGTGATGACAATTACTGGTGTCAGTCAGGGATGCTCACTATTCCCGATTCAGTTTAATTTCATCATAGATGTACTAATGGACTTAACCCTAAATGACTTCAGCGACTCAAGGATTGATTTGTTACCATCAGGTGAAGGCGCTGACAAAATGCAGCAGAGTCTTCTGAAGACCTTGAGCAGAAATCTTCGAATGTTTGGCATGCAATTAGCTCTCATAAAATGTAAGATGATGCTATGGGACTTGACTACATCGACTCCTAGATTAGAAATCGGGAGTGAAGTGGTAACTACTTCACCACTTATTTGGGAAGTTGCATCAGCCAACACTAGCAGTCTGATCGCTGACGAAGTCTCATCACGGATATAACGGGCTCGTCTGGCATTTGTCAGCTAACTTACTCCAACTCTGGTTTAGTAGACGTGATATCCAGCTGGCTATCGACCAAAGGGAGTGTGTACTGCTCAGCAGTTCGCTCCATGTTCCTTTATGTCTGTGAAACCTGACAGAAGAAATGAAAAGGCTGGCCAACTGTCTTTGATCATAAGTGCCTGCGTTCTATCTCAATTATTAGGTGGTATAATAGGGTGAGGAATATTAAAGTTAGGCGTGGGTCAAGTGGTAGGGGAGGAAGGGGAGATCAATCGACGAGGCTGTGAAATGACATTGACTGAGATAGTTAGGACATGTGTTACACATGCACACCTGGCCATCACCTCCTTCAGCTGGCATTGTTAGCTGACATAGGGTCAAGATGGAAAAGAGCCAGTGGTTGTCAAACCAAAACATGGCTTCATCAGTCAATGCAGAAATTCATAACAGTTAGTCTAAGCCAGCCAGCCAAGTAGGAAGGTGTAGACTTCCTGACTGGTTGGGGTCCTCGGGACAGTGAAAACCAGTGAAAGCTGGAGACATTTGGTGATATGGCTCAAAATCCTCGTTCTCAATGGCTGGCTCAGATGCATCCACTCTTTGTGACTTATAATTTCCAATGAAATTATATTGTTCTTCGTTATTACTATTCCTTTTGTCTCATATCCCTGTCTACTGTCTGTATTTTGCATTTCTTCTACTTTCGAATCCCGGTGGGTGCGTGCTACTGAAGAGTCCCAAACTAGTCTGACGAAACAGCTGTCCAATACTGGTTTTTCAATGGTTCTCTAACTAATGTCAGCTCATGATGAAATCCTGTAACCAATCAAATCCCTACAAACCAACACTTGAATATTAATGAGATGCTCACTAGCGACTTGCATTATTCAGGTAGGTAGTTACCTGGGGTTCTAGTGAGAAGTCGTGACCAGTAGTGTGCAGCAGGTCGGGTTTGAGGACAAATACTAGCCACGGATGACATTGGCTAGGGGTCGCGCTATGTCGTGAATTGGCAGAAGTTAGAATTTACAGGCTAGCCATTCGATCAGGTCCCAGTGGCTAAATAGTTTACGGCTAGCTCACTAGCCTTGTAACCAGGTCCTTGATTCGACCCGTAGCGCTGGGTGCGTACTGCTGAAGTGTCCCAAACTAGTCTGACGAAACAACTGTCCAGTACTCCCAATTTTTTT